TATATAGCACTGCGCAAAAAGCTGGAGTGGAGATGTTATTCTCTGTGTTCTTAAGAAAGCTGTATAGCCTTTGTGTGCCCCGAGCATGTACACGGAGTAAACAACTCGTGTAGTACACATCTAAACGGGATTATTCTCTTAGCAAGGTAGTGTTTCCAATCAGTTAGCTTCAATAATATGCAGCATTAAATAGGCATGCTTTTCAATATTTTACCAACTGAATCCACTGATTTATTCGTAGTTTTGTTTGTTTGTTTGTTTTTTTTTTCTTGTTGTGATTGATACGTATCAGTTACAGAAAAACTCGCTCTAGTATCTGTCGTCATAACTATTTATTTACAGTTTGCCGCTCAGAAAGGAAGCGACCAATAGTTTTTCCCAGTTGTTTTATGTATGTAGCAATATTGAATGTGTATGCTTGCCATGAAGCTTCGAAACGCTATTCAGAAGTCGAATGCAGAAGACGAACAGCCAGACGGATGGATGCGAAAAAATTGTCCTACCTCAGAGACTATCAGCTTCTTTTATCTCTATGTACGCATCATTTCGTCTAACAATCGTTGTTCCTGCTAAAAAACTATCTTCGTCACGACACATCCACCACTGCCTATCAGTGCTAAATACATGCTATATCCAGTATCTTTATACAGAGTTGTAGGTACGCGCACAGCTTTCCGTGTTCTACAGACACCGACTCGTCATCACACTTGGCAGCGCTCTCACCAGGAGTCACAATCGCGCTACTGGATTCCCATAGGAAGTGGTTTCACGCACTGAAAACTTTCATTGGCGTTGTCTTGAGCTTAGGCCGTCTACGAGCTATTTTCGCAAGACAGTATAGCGACGAGTAAATTCGATTTATCATTGAAACGGATTATTACGGTGGTTCGGGGAATAGCTAACGTAAGCGTAATAAGCAGATAAACGTATCCGATTCTATTAAGACATCGAATACGTCTATCTGTGGGGAAAAATCGAGAGACTTTTTGAGCTTTGCGCACCGTTGATAAATGGGCTAATCAATATGCTATTGTATCCTATAACAACAAACACAGGAAACATAGACCTTTCCTGTATTCACTACTAACTAACTGACTGCTGAGGAATGTCGGCTGATACACCGTGTACAGCCTAAAAATCAACTTGGGAAACAGTTACAAGAATGCCGAGAAGTTCAGAAATGTCCATTGAAATATGTGCACGATTGGATAAGGCTAAGCAGCTGGTACAATAATAAATAATAAACCTTGAAATGGGTGGATCCAGCCAATGTTGTCTATATAAATCATGGCCCATAAGTGTACCGTAACAGGTAGTTGTTATATATATATAATAGACGTAAAATTTTTGATTAGAAGCACAAGTGTTTGAATAAATAGTTACCTATTATTCGCTATTCATAGAAGTGCTTGCCTGTTTAGTAGAAAGTACACAATTAAGCTAACATACTTCAGTTAGGTTTAGAAGTCTCTCACTGTTCGAAGTTAAAAACGATGCACTGGCCGTTGCCGTCAATCAACGCCACCTTTTTTTTTTATTGATCTCCAGTGTCTGCATAAGCCCTACCAGTTTACGTGCTTGTTTCAGAGGGATTCACAGTGACTTGGTATGCGTAACGTAAATAACAATGTGCATGGACTATGGATTGTTGTACGGTTTACATCATTTTTAGGTTATCTTTGCTAAACATAAGGATTTCATTCGAGCATAGAACAAGGTGGCTGAAGTACTTACCGTGGGCCACGTTGTTAATACAGTCCAAATATGCTACTCCATTTTCGTCAAACATATATTGTCCTTCACCACGTACGATTTTCAGTGCCCCCGATGACCGAAAGAATACTGTGCAGTTTTTACTAGATTACAAATAGTCACAGGTAAATAGGTGAAAGTAGTTAGTAATTAACGGTTAAATCTTACTACTATCTTCAACTAGGTTTTTGACGTAGATATTCGACCACATCATTTGGAGACTCGTCAGGCCTGCTTTACATAATGAAGCATGTTGGAGCGACAAAAACAGCTTTGTTAAGCAGCCCACCGATCTGCTAAAATGAAATCTAGATAACGAATTTATAGGAATCTCACTGAAGTGGCAGTATCCCTCAATAGAGTGAACGTACTCATAGGCTTGCCCGGGTAGCGTTTTAAATTACCTTATTATGTATGGGATTTATTGCTGCGGTTAACCGCTTCATATATAACCGCGGCTACTGGCTAAAGGCAAAGACAACACTTCACGCCCTATCTAAATTGAAACTTCGCCAATTTGAGGCCAAAACTCAATGTCGATCTGTTGAAGTGCAAGAATAAAGGAAGTTCAAATCATTGTACTTATCAGTTTGAATAACGGCATCAGTTATTGTGAATTTAATAAAAGATGGTCAAAGCGAGTCGATGCTACCACCTTACACCACTAATCAAAAAGCCATAAATATTATCAACGATAACCGTAAATGTTGTGCCAGGTCTGAGCACGCTTGAATGATGTAGTTAAAAGTAATCTATTTTGTTGCCATTACCACTTCTCCACTTCCACTCACTTCACGACCACACTTCCGCTCAAGAGCGTGGATGCGGAGGAACCATTGGCAAAGACAATTTACCAAATATGAGACAAAGAGATAGTGATCATTCATTGACAAATCTAGCCACCACTCATTTGATAAACTGTTTATCGTATCTAGTAGATGTAGCAGGGAAGCAGAACAAAAACGATTACTCGCCACTTAACGAAGGCAAAGTAGGACTACATTAGTATAGGACAGAGCTTATTTGTTCAAAACACAGGTTCATCTGGACACCCACCTCAAGGCTCGCCTCTATTGATTAAGGGTAAAGGAGGACGCAGTCTAATCAAATTTCTCCCTATAATAACTTTCAATGACCGCTAATGTACGAATACTGTATATTTGATCTTTTCTTGAATATTTGTCGTAGCTGGGTTAAAGTCATGTGCCGACCTTCGCAAGTGTCAAAAGCAACTGTTGGACGATCGCAAAGACCCGACTGACTTGTTTACCATTAGGCCTGTGCCCGCTCCCGACAACTGGAGCTGCTATAAAACGGGACAGCAGCAGTAGCGGCTATGCTCGCTACTCAGGTTCGCATTAGGGCCAAAGCGCTCATATTCAATTAATGTAGGGCCTAAGTGTGGAGTGAGGGGGAGGTAGAATTCAAAGTTTGCTACGGGTTAGACGTCTGTTTCTTGGGTGCCTTCTCGGTAGCACAGCATGTTTCTTCCTCTGAAGTAATGCCTCAAGTACCTGGCGTAAAACACGAAAAAAATGGATGATTGCCCTGAATTTTTCACCGCCGATTCAAAAAATGACGACATGTAACGTTAAGCGATAATAACAAACCCAATGTGAAGATCCCTCAGTCGGAGTGTCTCTTCCTTAGGAATATTTTCCAGGGGCGAGATCACACGATTGGTGCCTGCAGACGTCATTGTGTCACTTCTGAAAAATATAAACATCAAAATGTATTTGGATACTGGTGCCATTGTTTTTTAGAAGCGTTATAGGTATACTAACGAAATCAGGAGAAGATTTGAGCACTTAGTTGAGTCGACATTATTGTTAAAGCGTTTTGCAACGAAGCACAAAGGCAGATAGGCGTTGAGTGTGTGATGTTTAATAAAAAGGAATTCTCATTTTACAGCGAACAGGTCTGGATCGTGACCTAAAATTAACTACTACTTAAATATACGACATGCGTTTATCATTACTTTTGCTCAACTTTTAATTGAATTATCTTTAAATATACAACAATGACATACATGCAGAGGTTATTCTATCAGACCATCCGATAGTTGTTGGCGCGTTCTGTTGCTTCTAGCGCTAGAAGCTATATCATGAACACACACAAACGACGCTAATATCGTTATTATCACATACACTTATACACAAACTAGATTCATTTAGTCAAAAGTCAGCGTACGATCGAGAGTGTTCACGAGAGATTGTTATTTGACCACTGACAAACTTGCTGAGAGTTGCTAGAACACTTCTTCCACTTCATATAAAAAGGACCTCAGTCGAACTGCGCTATGTCAGGTTATTTGCATGGTCTCAATTTCTGAGCAGCAGATATAGCGTGTACCTTTGCTGAATGTTTGGCTGTTTTACTCGCGATAGGGTACCCTCTCGTGTCAAAGATTACGACGATGCACCGAGTCGATGCGCTGTACCTAAGGTTCGTGGTCAATGTAGAACTCTTAGTTAAACAGTGGTTGACCAACAAACAATTATCTTTCAACAGCGGTCCACACCGTTCCCCGTACACCGTGTAAAAGTGCCAAACACTTTCGTCGAGCCGTGCGCCGCGACGAGTGAATGCCAAGCTAAACACACGTGTGTCATTGTTAGGCAACGCTTTATACTCTCGAATTCGCTTGCCCTCTCATACCGAAAGCACTGCGCCGCGAACCGCCTCTTCCTGCCTTGCCACCTACCTCCATTGGTCGAGGCCGGTCCACCGCACCCGCCAAGCGACTTTAGTTTTCGAGAAGAGTCCTTCGCGCTCGTGGTTCACTATTGAGGCCTACGATAGGCGGGTGACAGGTCTTTCGTTAGGGTCCTCGTTTAATTATGTTGCTCACTGTCTTGCTAGGTTAGCTGAGTCGAGCCACTCGCTATTGGGAATCACAGTCTTTCCCGCTTGTTCCCCCCCGAGCGCCGTCTCATTTAGCTACCCAGCCACTGCCAGGAAACGTATCGTAGTATCGCAATATACCCGCCGCGCTAAATAAACTGATCTTGCTTCGCGACCCTATTTCCTGCACAACTTTTTTCAAGTGCTTAGTGCTGTAAATGCACCACCGATCGGTACTGACGTGAAGCGACGTTCTCCGCATCAGGATAAGGCATCTTGGTGAGCACGAACAACTTCTTCTTCCGTCGCGTCTCAGGAAAAGAAGGCTGCGTCCGTTTTGACGGAAGTCCGCAAGCTAGACAAATTGAAGCTGTCGTGGTATTGCGAGTCAGCTTCGATAGCCACCAGTCAGACGAACAGGTGGTGATCCGCCTGGAATAACCAAGGAAATCGACTTTACTAGCTCACTGTATTGTAACATAGTACTAATGATTGGCTGCATTTATGAACTGGTAACGCCTACGTGCACGTAAAAGTGTCGTCGTCAGATTAAAAGTTTATTATAGGCATGAGCGTGAGTGCTCCTCAGTTTTGTGATCACTGAAGTACTCTGCAGTACAGCAAGTGTTTCAAAATGTGCTTCACAACGGTGTTTATGATAACCGAGTCTAGTGGTTAGTTATTATCAGATCCAGTCAGGGATAGGCAATATCTCTGTCCGTGTATCCAGAAGGACAAAACAACGGCAGGAACACAGGCCAGCAGCCTGTTTGAGGGCCTATAGGACGCAGTATGTTTCGCCAGCTATAGATGATCGATGGAAACTGAACAAAACCGGTTGACCATCCTCATAGGAGCGATGATATGTGCGTATTTTAGCTGTCAAATATTTGTTAAAATGAAGTAGGACATAAAAACTGAAGAGTCCCATCTTTTAAATGTTTTTCATATTTGGCTTTTTAGGTTACTTAGATGGGATTATAGATAATAACTAACGGTAAATTTGATAATTCAATTTGACAGATTCTATTGTTCTGATCGTAGTTATGAATCGGGTATGCAATAGTTAGAGTATAGTCTTCGTTTATTCCTTTATTTATGAAGGATACCCACAAAAATGTCCGAAACGAAAAAAGTTACATAATAAGTTAGCGTTGTTGTATTGATTTTTCTCAAATAATTTGTCGAGTTCAACTGGATAGCCCTGTTCGCGCAAGTTTCGACTACAAGAGGCCCAACTTGATAAAGATAATATTCGCAGTGAAGCTCGGTCACTTATACATCTGTGGACCACACGGATAGCTCGAGTCTGATGTTAACAAAGCTCTTGGGACGCACATGGATTATCCAGCAAAAAAAAAAAATGTTGTCCTGAATATCGGAGGTCGTACTAAAAATAATCTTCGTCTCTCAGTTCACCTCGCACAGCTATTTCCTCTTATGTATACTTTATATATTCAATATTTCCTATTGAATTTATATTACTATTCTTTTAAAAGTGCCTGTCGGAAGTTTCATAGTGGGCTAGAAGACACCCGGAGAAAGTGTAATAGAATTATTTTGAAAACCATACTTTCATCAACCGATCTGCTATATATGTGAGGTTATTTCATCGTTAAGCTAAGGTGTTTTATTATGTTTTGTGCTCATTAAATTAAAATATCAACAAGACTCTGCCCCTGGAATACCGGTCTTAAATAGAACCTAAAACACAAAAGGCTATCGGCACTATAATCGTTTTCAAATTTCTAACTTATTGTCAGCAATCGGCAAAACAACGAATTATTTTTGGAAATTTTAGCAAATGCTTTACTCTATAGGGCTTGCTCGGAACTATGGTCGACTCGTATCGATAGCTTTATAAACAACCTGAATATGAGATTTTCTTATATAGACATATCGTCCAATTTAATGAAAAATTTATAGCAATTAAAAGCAATTTGCGACCTATTAAAATCCAACGCAATAAACTCGGTGATTTTTTGATGTCTTTTCGTACAGCGTAAGTGAAGTTTTGTTAATCTAGCTCTGAAACCGCACTTGATTTTAAAAAATACCAGCCTTTTCCGTACTAATGTAACTATAGTAGTACAAAATATTAAGCCAATAGCGGTTTACATTTTTCATATCAGGCAACACGATTCATTCTATGTCTTTCCGATGCTGAAAGGCATAAAATGCCCTGTGGGAACGAAACCTAGAATTCTGTGTTTGATCCTTAAAGGCGGTTCGCTATGGCGGCTAATAATAGTTTGTGCGGTCGTGTCATACGCATCTGACTAACAACTTCCAAGATTTTAGACAGGGTAAACGTTATTCTTGTGTCACGGGAAATATGGTAAATTTCTTGACATTGTGCGACGAGGTACAGACTCGGACACCGGAAACTAATCGTATGTTCGACCGTCATTGCGGAGTCATCTGAGACCTCAGTTTCCGCTAGTCACAATCGAGGATCTCGGATTTGACAAGCCAATGTGAAGTACATTTAGGCATATGCTATTCCCATGGTAATCGTTCTATAGGTGTAAATACGCTTCTGTAGAACATCACAAAAGGTTATTTAAGGCCGGCGTAGCACCAGACCACATGTCTTATCTGACGTTGATCAGTAACGGCAGAGACAAAAGTTACGGACTAAACTAGCCTCGATAAACCTCACCCCTATTCCTTATGCCACCACTGCAGTGCAAAAGTTGGATTTTCGAATATTTTGAGAGAAAAAAAATAATGTAACTTTTAGTTTAATGAACACATGTTCTGAAATATCCGAAAAGTTCACATACTTTAGTTGTTACTGTGTTTAAAACAAATTTTCATATATATCCTGGATTCAACTTAGTTTGCCGCCTAGTGGAAGTAATTAATAATTCTGCTTTTACTCCTCTCATAAAAACGTTTATGCACTTTTCTACAAACAGTAAACTTTACCCACTTATAGAACCGATTAGTTGCGATATTAAACGAAGTGAGCAGAATGTATCTAGATCTTCCTTTTTCAATTGGTTATCTAACTTAGGCAAAATCAAATTTTTAATCTCTGGAATAAATTTTATCGGATCTCCTTGTTTGAGTTATTAATACGATCATATGATATCGTTTCTGTATATTATCACACCTACCTGGTAGTCTATGTCGATGGCGCGGCTCGAATTAGTGATTCGTTCAAACCAGACGTTTAGCGATCCAGGCCATCGCACCATACTGAATATCAATTACCGAGCAAAGAATGAGAATGTGTTTGATTGAAATTAACTTCAACTAATAAGTTGCGGAACTTTGCCGACATTTCGTATATCCTGTATGCGGTATATCGGGTTACAAACAGCAAACAATTGCGATACTGTAGCATATAATACGTGTCTCACTGTTCATTATAACAAATGACAATGTTTTACGTCAAAGTATCTTGTTCTAAGAAGAGTTAAGTTACTAGACGACGTTGAAGTTATAATTGAGAATTTTTAAATTCTCAACCAGCTCGATCGCCTTCTGGTGCAAAAGCAGTTTAGTATATCAGCTTTGGACAAACGGGGTAACAGTTTGTGGTACGATAAATTGTGTGTTGCGGAATTAGAATTGGAGGTACTTTTATTATATAGAAGGCAGCTATATTCACCGAATTTGTGATTCAGCTCAAGCTAATTTATCAGTTAATAAAACTGATAAATGCAAAGCGACGAGAACACTTCTAGCAATTGTAGTAAGCGGTTCTCGTTTCTTCGTGCCGGGCTTAGGTGACCGATCACTTAAGACTTAGCACAACGTCCGATCCCTTACATTCAGTACCTTCAATTTTGGCTTCGCCTAAAAAAATTTTCCCATTTATCCTTAAGACCGCATTATCACAGACTCATATAATTTGCCCAAAGGTTTGGTGCCCATGGAAAGCCATTGATCATAAAGGTTCTGAGAAAAACGTTGCCATATTGTAATCATCGGTTAAAAGAAGTGCTGATCTAAAACGGCTAAGTATTCTGCAATACATTTCGATATACCTCCTAAAAATGTGCGAGCGCTATGCGGCCCTAGTCAACAGTTACTCGTTACTACCCTACGTTTTTCGTTGTGTGTAAATCCAGTACGCGAAATGTCGACAACTTATGGTTGTGGCTGTTCTATTGTTAATGGCACAGTCCATTAAGGCTCTGTATATATCACATGGAGATATTATATTTGATCGAACTAATTTATAAACAATAGCAATTTAACCTGCGTTAGTTAGCCTTTCGAATATAAAACAAGAAAAAAAGGCTTGTGAGAAACTCTAAATGCTACAACGTAGGAAGATGGTTGTCCACATCTTGGAAGCATGCTTTGAAGGTATAAAATTTTTTGATTTGATACATAAGGCGTGTTTTTTCGCGAATTCACAATTTCATAGCTAATTACCATATGCAATACCAGGTCTACGTCGAATTCAGAGACACATTTATTAATGAACTTGGATGTTAGACTTAATCTAAATCAGAAAGACAAACGCTACACAGAGAGACCAGCGAAATCAAAACACTCCGGAGAGCAGTGATACGCACTACCGGTTACTTTGGACCCCAAAGGGCCTGAATCTGTGAATGATATTAGATTAGATGGCATTACCATCTGGTCACTCTGGTCTTACGGAAAATCTTTGGTTTGGGACGCCACACTGTCGTATCGGTATAGCAGCAACGTGATATTTGTGACATAGCAGAGTTAGACTGCGACGGAAGGTGCAGCACCCGATCTATGTGGAGAATAACGTAAATCCGTTGATTCGACGAATCGATGCCATTTTGCGTCGACTGCATCTGGGCCATTGGGTCCTGGTAATGATAGGACAGAAATGTTCACACCTTGAAATTGTTATCTTATCCAAAGCAAAATAACTACTTTAACTGTTGGTTTCTGACCGACTATGAATAAATACCTTGAAGTCAATGAAAAGACAAACAATTATCATGGGAGTCTACATTTATATTTAGAAGTCCGTTGTTCCAAAGGAGTCAAGGCGGCGAAAAAAAAAAAAAACAAAACACGTTTAATTCAATCGCTGATAGAAATGAGAAAGTATAACGCAATACAGAAATTGATATGTTTCTGAAAAAGTAGTAGGTTATTAAGTAAGTTGTTAACTACTGCACTCTTTGCCAGGCAATGATTCCGAGTGGTCTCCTCATACCCGATCTTTATTGCGGTCGAACAGAAAAAAAATATTTGCGAACGCAATAATTATGTTTAAGGAAATTTGTTAATTGCATAGTAAAACACTTGAAGGAGTCAACAAAGGACAACTAAGGACGCACTGCAAAATTTCCTATAATACTGTAGCAACATAATTGTTTCGAATTGCGCCTGAATAGTAAGTAACAGCGAGTGAAACTGGTCGGAAGCTTTTCATTGTTTCTATATGTGCCATAGAAATATATTGTGTTTGTTTACTTTTCAAAGTGTATAACTGTTTTTCGTATCGTCGGATCAGTGTTTTGATAACTCGCTCTGCGACGTTGCTTATTCTAAGAAGATTAAGCCAGTTTCAACAACACCAGATTACAGCCAATCAGCAAAAAAGGCACGAAAAATTCTATTGTGATGCCTCTACGAGCGATTTTCTATTGTTTGTAACGCAAAAAAATGAACCACTAGTAACTGATTATGGACATGTTCAGCGGGATGATGATACCGATCGCAGAATACGCGTCGTATTTAAATAACATCCATTGGCAACGGCTCGATCTTCTCTCATCATCATCCCACCATGATTATAGCCATAACATGCATATACTATGTCAGCTTCCTCTGAGTCATTTTCGTGTCATAGATTTATTGCGAGATTTTATTCCGCCAAATGCGCGAAAAATCGGTATCCGTCATTCTAAGTCTGCGAATGGGTCGTTAGTTCTAATGGCCCCTTTTAATAGCAGCAACGTAGCCAAGATACACGACGTTTACGACGCCAACAATAACAACAACAACTTGCAAGCTCGTCGGAGCCTTTCAGGTGCTGCTGTGTTTAACTTTATCCCACTCTTGGGACGTCTCTGCCTATCCGAAAATTACCTGTATAGCCGCTACTCCTTCCAAAAGGAGCATTGGGCCTGTCGAGTAGTGCAGTCGGAAAAAACCTGCGATTCCGAGACTAGCTTGCTTTCCAGCGTGTCCACCTTAATTTCTAAACACACACATAGTGAGATCTGAGTAAGCACTACTCTTGTACAAATCCTTCCTTTGTCCAAGCTTGGCGTGAATACGAAACGATTGACTTTTAACGGCGGCTATGAATATCACTGACGCAGTTTAAAAGAACAGCAGAGTATCAAATGATAATGGAACTGAAGGACACGTATTAACATACCAGCCACAAACACAGAGGAAGTACAAACACAAGGGGATAGTTTGATACTGTTGGTCCAGGCGCCACTGGAGGTGTTCCGTCTTTCTGTGCCGGACCGTCTGCTTGAGCCTGCAGTGCTATCGGAGGGATGGCCCTTTCCCACATGGTCTCGGAGTCCTTCAAAGTCAATAAATCGAGGGTCGCTCTCTGGCTCCTTCTCTCTTCAATTTGTGCCTGATAGAAGGGTTCGCGTGTTCAGAGATATCATACCCCCGGGAGCAACTGAATAGGAGGGAGAGACTTGTTGAAAAGTGTTCAAAGGGCGAATACTACTCACGGGGCATCATTCAACCAGCAAACTAATAACATTAGTGTTATAGCCATATGGGATAGCTATTGTTTGGACCCAAACAATGTCAGAAAGGCTAGGAAAGAGCTACCTGTAAGGACGCCTCTTATATTGTATTAAAAGGTTCGAAAAACATTAAAGTTCTCTAAAAGGCTCAGTTAGATTGCTTTAAGATCGATGAACGTATCACGGTACTGTAAATAAAACGTAGTTTGATTTCGGACAACATAGTCAAGGAGATCGTATCTGTATTCCATCAATAGTAGTTAGTTAAGGAATCAGGTTTAATATATACATGTATATATAGCAATAATAAGATTATTCAAGTAGCATTGTATATATTCATATCCAATCTTAATTAACTTCTAGTATAATTGATATGTTAAACAAGTTCTAGCAGATAACGTCATCGGTTGCCATAATCAGACTAATCGAAGATGAGTCGGACAAATTTTACTTTGTACAACCTAACTATACCAGAACATGTTGCGAAAAAAAAATTCTATACATATTGCCTGTTCTTGTTCGGCCGATTGCAAATCAACATAAAGTTGACCTTGTGTGCCGGAGCAGACAGACCATAATTCAATGATCTGATTGGCAATGAATTAAATCGACTCTAGAGAATACTGCTTGTTATATTGGGTTTTGGCTAGATCCGATCAGTGCGATCCTGCACCAGCTCAACAATAACGTACAGCTAAGACGTGCGCTGCTAGGGTCTGTGCATCGACGCAACTTAACGCATGCCGTACGCGCTCGGCATGATCGTGCAATCCAATTGTCCGTTATATATATTTTGCCAAAAATGTAAAGCAGTACATTTTCTAAACGGCTGTAGAACCGAATCGATGTAACGCTTTCAAAACTTCTTTTACGTGACGCAACCTTTTTTTTCGTTCGCTAGCTCAGGATCGTCGAGCTTGCTGCATGTAAACGTCCCATTGTACGCGATTCATGGGCATCTAGTTTCACGATGTCCAAATGTAGCTCCATAATAAACCACAGTTGGATTTTACTAGTCAGATCCATCTACGTGTTTCCATTGCTAGGTTGCTGATAGAGCCAATGGTTGCATGACTTTTGATCAAACCCTTAGCATGTTCCATAGCTACGCCATCAACCTGTAATATTTCGATTTTCAATCGGCCTTTTCTAATCCCGTATACTTTGAATAGATTTCGACTAATCGTTAGGTTTATCCGCTGCATCTCAGATTTGTTTTGCTGATCAGACTAGCTCGCTCGAGTACTGTTATACTGGATAGCAGCTGGTCTTCGTAAGGTTCTCATTCTGTCGCCACTGTTAAGTGTCTCAAACATTGGAATTAAAAACGTATTTTCATGGATGAGATTAAGCTTGATAGTTATAGGGGTATTAGGGGAGTACAACTGTTGCAACACAGTTGCATGGTTGTTTTCAAGCCAGCATGATGGCTTTTAGGATGTAGAACGTATGTAACCCCTAGATAAACTTGAAATATTCAAAAATTCAGTTGTTCGAAGTTTCTGACGCGTAATATATCTCTTTTTAAATATATTATAGAAACTATATAAATAGATACATTTATCTAAAAAATACAACGTATGTAACGTATCAGTTCTAAGTTCTTTTTTTAAACTAAATATGTGTTACGGAACAACCATGATCATAATGTAGAAGAATATTATAAGCCTGATATAGCACTCAGTTCTTATCAAAAATGAACAAATCAGATTTATTATCCACCGACGCGCTGCACTTTCATCTCATAAACCATAAATGAGGCCAGAACGAGATGGCTGATTGCCTATTTTGCCCTAACGTTTTGCAGACTGTATGTCCTGAGGAACGGACTCTGCGTGGCCGGCCAGCCAGCCAGCGAGCATAATTTAATAGTTTCCATTAACTCGCTGACAACGTTATAGCTGAACAACAGATTCATAGCTCACTAATGGGATTATTGTTTCGCGGCCTTTCAAAACGACGACCGTAATGGTTCTTCTTCTTCTTACTTGGGGATGCTTACATATATAGTCAAAATCTAAAATCCTTGAAAATATCTTAACACCTATATAAATTACTTTGAAGTATCATCTAGGCGCTGCATGATAGCATGGCTGTCATTTTAGTGTTAGTACAACTGTAGGATTATTGCAAGAAGCACTCGATGGGAAAAAGAAAAACTGGGGGAAAAAGAGGAGGGAGCTACGAAAGCCCTGCCGTCGTTGTTGAGCTTACGATTCGCTAGGGCATTGTGCTGAAGCATGGTTTTTCGATTCGAACAATTGTAGACGGACTGAATATGGTACATAGCACTACGTTGAGACGATCAACTGCCATTTCGAGTATCGGTACGCTACACTATTTCGAATGGTTCGAATTTGGGACGAACAGAGAAAAGATTTAGTCAACGCATTCTGTAACATACAAAGTTACAACAAGTCCGACGAAGACACATGCGCGAGCAGGCCGCGCAGATGTCCAGGACGGAGGCGGAAATACAACGATTTCACTATAATCTCTACTCGACATAGTGCAAGTGCTGGCGATTTGTTTAGCGGCATTAAGAATAACAGAGGACTCGCGCAAGCACAACGTAAACGTAAGCATACAGCCTAAGGATGCATGGATGCACAGAGAGTTAAGGCCAATTCACGAACACGGATTATGCAGCCTCTAGGACCGAAGGGACTCGAGGAGTTCAACCTAAAAAAGCGGACCGTTCATGAGAGATACTATTTTTACAGCGATCTTACCCTAAGAGATTATTAGCTCGCAAACAAAAATTTCGGCTACTTCCTAAAGAAGAATAAGAAACAAAGGTGGTAAAGCGCTCAAGTGCAAAGAGCGGGAACATCGTAGGCGTAAGCAACGTCCCAAGATGATGAAAATCAAAGACGGATTTGGGTTGCAGCAAGCCATTTGTCATCAGCAATTGAATCTGACCGTGAAGATCGTGACGAGTCTGATTGATATAATTGCCTGCTTTGGCGCAAAATGCGAAGGCGACCGGATACGATGTCATTAAGCGAAGAAAAGTTGGCCTCAAAAAAACGCCTGATTAGGTGACCAAATACCTTGAAAGATATATTTAAGTATTTCTTTTTATAAACTGACGCAGCCATTATCTTGGTTTGCCTAAGTAGATATAATAAATAATAAAGAAAAAAACATTTTCATTATGAAATACATTGGGACTTTTATTTGCACCAACGTACAGTCATCGCAGAGATTGAATACTTGTTAATAGCCATTAATGGCTGGATTTAGATGAATTTGTGCAAGTGCCATCACTTTATATTACCGTATCAAACCCACTGTCCCAGGCTCTTAATAAAAGCTAAGATTAAAAGATTTTTCTACAATGAAAAAAACCTTGAATAGGGTTTGTAAAAATAAATATTCCTACTTCTTCTACGAGATGTTATCACTGGTTAGGCTTTGTCTCACAGGGACAGTATTTTTCGCTTTATCTTTACGCCATATTTGAAATGCACAAGGAAAAAATATGGTTGATAAAGCCCTGACCTGTTGTGGGGCATTACAAATCTATCCTTTGCATAAGCATAGTAACTTGATGACAGTCTGCGATATGGGCACAGTCATAAGACGGGGCCCTTTTTCATATGATGCGTTTAAACATGTATTAGAGTTTATGGATAGGGAGTGAAAAGGAGGCACGCGAAACACTTTCAACGATATCGTTTACTTACCGGGGTGTGAACCGCGTATCTTTCTGGGTTTGGCTGGCTTGATTGAGAGTTTGTCCAATTACGAATGATGATATTAAACTAAACTTATCTGCGCGGCATAGTCACACAAATGTGGCTATTGTGGATGAGCCGATCATCTGTCAGCTTCTTTAATTGTAGTTCATTTTTACCCCAGCTTGTATATGTTATTGGGATTTATCAGAAGCGTATTTTATTACACTGTGACAAAATCAAGCAGTAACGTTCGCGAAGCAGTCACACGAATCAATTGAGAAATCTATCTAGCGAAGCTTTAGGCATCGTCTGCATAGCTAAACAATTCGAGATGACGCACTCTGCTCTATCAGTAAAACGTCGATTCGATAGAAAGACTATATTAAGGCTTCTATTATTGTGTAAGCGTCTCTGTTGCGCATTAAACGGACGTTTGCGCAATCCTTTTTCATGCTTTAAAGATGGCGATTTAGTTTGCCGAACACCCTATTCAAACCCGAACAGTCGTTCTGCCTGTGAAAATCACCCACACGTCTCGAGGATGGACTGTGGTCCAGCCAACCTAGGCACAGTATATAGATTTCAGTCTAGGGGTGACTGATTCAAGTTTGCTAGCGTGCACCCAGAGACTGTATGTGTGTGAAAAAAGCAAATGCTTATGAAAACAGAAGCTAAATACACTTGGGTAACCGTAACATGGCACTGCGACCAGAAAATGGTATAGTTGCCAATAAAATTAGCTTCTTATCGGCGTTCGTTCGCTGTGAAACACAAACGCTGCCTAAATAAAACTAACTGATATCGTTTACGTACATTTTTAGATATTTACGTTAAAGAACAAGACAGTCTAACGGTCGAAAGCTAAAAGGCATTTCCAAAAGGTTCCAAGATTGTTTGAGAGCGTAAGGCGTAAAGGGGTAGCATGTAAGCGTTTCATTACAGCCACGAGCTGCCCTACGTTTCGTCGCATACATCGTGTGAATAATCTGAATGAAATTGAATTGTTGTGGATCATTGCAACTAATACCGCAGTCGATTTCCAGCGACTTTTTTGATTTGTCAATCAATGACGATTAGAACGCGTCTTTAGTAGCTGGGGAAAGAAGCAAAGGTGTGACGGCCAGATAATTCTAGGGACGTTTTTCGAAAAAGGCCACAAACAATTGACTAAACGCCTATTACGATCTATATCTTTAGCCTTGGAGTTTGCTGGTCAATCCTCGTGCTAAGCGGATACAGTAAAATGTCTATTTGCAAAAGGTAGAATGTTGTATGTATCAATGCGCCTTCGGTAGCTCTACGCAGCGTTTTCTCGTCTCACGTTTATGCTAAAAAGAGCGCCACATTCTATTGAAGAAGCCAAAGTTCTGCCGGTTCGATTCGCTGGTTCAGTCTAATATGGTGTGAAAAAAAAAAACAACGAATTACTGATGAAGCGAAGTAATACCTTCTTTATTAGCAATTGTCAGTAATTAATTAATTCGTTTTTGTTATATTTGCTGTTGTTATATCATCACTGTCGTTATTATCTGTTTGTTTCTGTTGTTACTATGTAAATAATATTTGTCGTTGTTGATGATGATGATGATGACGATGCGCTGTGTATCTTTGTCCTTATTGTGTATGCTGATCATGGTCTCCTTCATCGTGACATGTCGCTCTACGATCTACCTATTTGATGTCTGCTATCATCAGCATCGTGATCACCCCTCTTATCGACTTCATCTTTGATTCGGTCGCAGAAAAGTTCCATTTCCAGTGTAGTGTTGGTTGTTACTATACACAGAGATTGAAATGTTACTATCTGTTATTGGCTTGGACTGGGTCTGGCGATTCGTGTTAATCACCTGAATGTGCAATATGGCGGTATGAAGAGACTGACTGTTTGTGGAGAAAATTGTTTATGGACACGTTCGTAACAGCGAGGTTACGCCTGTGGCCTTTTTGAAGTGTGAGTTTGATCGCGTTTTTTATTGTCGTCGTCGTCGTTGTCGTCGTCGTCGTCGTCGTCGTCGTCGTCGTCAGAATGAGTCGCTTATAATGCGTTCTATACTCCGCTGTAGATATAATGCTTACACAAAATTCTATTTCTACTTCGGTACACCTTGCCATATCTTTCTCTTTACGTTATATTATTCATCACCATACGGCCTATATAATTACCTCGTTATCACTAAAATTACCATTGCTATCATTAGTATCATCTTGCCATTCGTTTTTAATCTTCATCATAATCGTCATGTACAAATGCAATTCGGTCGACCCTATTCATATTCTGCTGGCACGCCAACATGACGCATAGAGAACGCTGCGCGACGGCAGCAGACAACGTCCTTGGCATGGAAACTAAAAACAGTAACAAATAGCATGGCGCTGGACGGGCATACGTTGCATTTTACAACGCTTCCAATGTCACGGTTTGTGATTTTTTACCTCGGACATCACTGGACTCAAGAGCCGAACCGGAGCGATCAGGCTTAAGCCTAGTCAGGCTAACCGGAAGCGCCATGAATATGAATCACTCACATATTGTTTCCGTCACCTACTTGGCTTATTAATATTTTTCCGTTTACGTCATCATTGCTCACACCATCTTTTTGTTTGCGACTGGTATGGGAATGTGGCCCTGAACATTACCCACCGACGACTTCAACACTAAGAGCCGACATCCGCGACACATTTCCGTATCCGCTTCCTTGTCTCAGCACTTGGGGGACCATCCCATCATTGTGGTTAATTAGAGCTGGCTTCAAACTGATCCTGTTTACCGTTGCAATGTATTCATGATATATCATTAAATATATTGATGCGTGTGTATATAAAGGCCCTGGAAGGCGGCATAAAGTCGCAGCCTTCTTTGGGCGATCAACGATTAAGTTGACTAGTTAACTAATGGCGTAAGTTACGTGAAGACCTCTTCTGACCCAACCCCGGTCGTTACTGTTATGAGTTAGTGACGTATATTTTGATCCTCTTCATCATTTGTTTATCTTGTTTGTATATTTAGTTGTTGCTATCGTTGTCGCTGCTACTGCTGCCCTTGTTTTCAATCCGTGTACCGTAAGAAGGACCACCGTTTTATGGACATCACCACATTCAGCATGTATTTATATGCGAGAGTGGATCTATGTGTATGAACGAGCTAAGGACAACCAAAATATTGCACAGATCATGACTATTACTAGAGTTAGTCGTTGTCCGACAACAAAGGCAGGAAGGTGATGTCAAGATGCCTCCACTGGGAAGATCTCGTCACCGCCCTTATCCCATTGCACTAGCGTTCTACCATTACGATCGGGTTCCATCCGCTGAACGGCAAATCGCTCGACATTAAAGCGATAAACTCAACGTTTACGTCGTCTTCGTCGCATTTCGTTAACCATTAATTAAACCAACCACTGAGTTTGGCTTCTCATTACAGAAACGCTGCTTTCAACGTGTACTAGGCTCGGTTGTTGCGTCCATCCAAAATAATTTTTCCTATTTTGTATAGCTTCCTTAGCCGATAAAACTGTAGCAATAATAATAATCAGGATATTATAATAGCTAGCGTTATCCGTTAGCTCTACAGACCCACACCATTCCTAGCTCGTGTAGCCCTTGAAGCTGGTCAAAAACAACTGGGATAATTTATTTTATTCGGTATTTGATTTAGTTGGCCTTATCTAACTTAGTGGAATATTGCCGTCGCCGTAGTGCCGCCGTTCAATATCATAATTACTACCCATTTTCAATGATTTTATTAAATGTTATTGAAAGCACAGACTTTGAAGTCAACTAGCTTAATGGCTCGTATCTTTTTTCCATTTTTGAACCTGATAGAAAGAGCTTGCTCAGTTGTGTTGTTGTTATTTCTGTGCATCGTATATCATCATTTCTTAATCGATAAACATCGCTTCGGCAAGAAATACGACGGCAGTATCTTTGGTCTCTCTTAAAATCGGAGAATGCTTGTATTATAGATTCAATTACTTTTTTCCAGTTGGTGACATGGCCATTGGATACGTTTTTGCTTGGCTACGGGCGAACTCGACTATTGCGCACAATTTCGAAAAATTACCCACGATACAATATAGCGATTTTGGCTAGTTACAGCATTTAGTAGCGGTAACCATAGAAACTATTAGGGAAGAAGAAAAGCTACAAAGTTGACTTTCCCCTGTCGTCATCATCTATTGTAGTATCACCATTTATAATAGATTGATTAATATTATTATCATCGTTAATATAGCACGTAGAAATAGCCATGCGTTTGTGTTAGTTGCTGCTGTTGTTTTTACTGCTGCTTGCTCTCCGCACCGCATATTGGTACTTACGCGGTCTATCCATGGTACCTATTACATTATACATGTTGCTATTAGTTTAAACTAATACTAGTAATAGAATAACTATAATAAGAGTATTATAATAGGTAGGTATGATACGATCGTTATGCCATATTAGAGTTCGTGTAACATATAGTATCCGTTCAGATATGGCACAAGTGGGCAAAGGTTGGTTACGTGATGATATCACCATCACAATCATTATTAATATCTATGTAATACATGCGGGAGATATATTCGTCTTTAGAGGTCTATTCCCTGTTTTCAATTTTTTTTCTAATGACATGGCACCTTAGGGTACGTTTGGCATGGCAACCATATCAAGGCGTCCTCCAGCGTTCATCCATTCTCTGTTATTATGATCATCATCGTATGATGTCCTGCCCATTCTTTCATTGCAGTTGGCTGGGCTTCTGATGCTGCCAGCCACTGCAGTAGCTCAATCACGCTCATTTCAGTTTTGTGTTCCCATCATTAGCTTAGAGCATTTCAGGTCCACCATTTACTGATCCTAGTCTTAATTTATTAGGCTTACTTTCTTTCCAGTGTCCCATTTTTATATTCACTTCGATCTGGTTGTTTCATGGTACATGGCTGGCACGGCATCAACACCGTAGCCTTCGCTCTCTTTTTTCTACTTTCGAGTTTCGTCTCTTTGGACTAGGGAAAATGTGTGAAAAGCGTCACATGCGTGAACGGGATATGACAACTAGACAAATGGCACCATTTGCGATACGCTTTCATGCACGACTTGTTGGACACAACACGTCACACGGAAATTACGTGATTTATATACTGTGTATCTAGTTAAAATTCTTATACGAACAGCGATACCATATCGAGCCTAAGTCATTGTAGAAAAAAATCAGGCGAGCAGTTGTGGCCACCAGCTGCTTCTCAACTTTTCGCTGCACTCCTTCATAGCTGTTAACCTTTTATTGAGGGTCATAACAATCTTATTCTCTAACGTTGTAACTATGGGCGCAAGTTCGCGACCATTGTTTACTTGGTTCTTGCCGTTTCTGATACTTTACAGTTGTAATTTAGCACATGGACAGATCGTCTGTGCCTTGGCCTATATATACCCTATGTGCAGATGTGTGTCGCGTTGGCGCTGTGATTCATCAATGATCACGTACTGTGCAACACATAGTGGCATGTTGAGATCGGCTGATAGGCGGCGGCCATTGATTTGATTGAGAGTGAGGCACTCACCCAGACACACACACACGCCCAGATACACCCACACACACACACACACATTCACAAACACAAACACACACACACACACACACCCAGATTATATATATATTCGTATTATTACATTAAGGACGTTATACGTAGATAAACAAATATGGAGACAGCGTGATAATTTTTCACTGATTCGCTCCACGGACGCTTCCCTTTACCGGCATCAGAGCTAAATTCGATTGAATTATGGATGTTTTTTTTATAGGATGTTAGACAAATCAGGCCTTCTCATTAGGCGTATTAATAGTTCTCTATGGCGGACAATACCGCCTATTACTCAGGTATTCAACAATAATTTGTGCCGTCGCAATTGACCCAGAGCGTGGTATCGGAAAGAGGAAAAGCATCGGTTGCTTTCTTTTGGTCTTTTGTTGATACTGTCCCTACATTTTTCCCGTCAGAGCTTTCACTCATGCATCATTTGAGACGCTGGGTAACGTTGGCTAGCGCGACTGCAAAGGCCTGCAAAGCACTGAAGGGATACTGGAAGTCGAGCGTGTACGCGTTGCCGTCGATACGGCCGAACTGCATTACTTGAGTGCCTTTAAACTCGATCTGGAAGTTTTTGGCAGACTCCTGGGTTACACGTCCCCCGAAATCGAGCTGGTACACCTGACTGACTTCGTTCCACAGCGGGGCCTTATTGTGCAAGGTGAACTCGCGGTACACAGGTTCAGGCGGTGTGATGCGCAGCTCCTGTTCGGCCTTGGCACCTGGCAGCATTTCCTGAGTGTGCACCTTCCCGTTGCCACCCTGACGTTTCTTCAGCTTCTTACGGATGTAGGCTTTCTGCAGTGATTCAAGATCTCGGAAACCGTCGGATATTGAGACGACGTCTTCGTTACTGCCCGCCGGCGTACTGTTTTCATCGTCCGAAGATTCGATCGTCGAACGAAGAGAGTGTTTTCGCACCTTGCGCAGCAACAGCGGGCTGTATAGTAAAGCCTTAAGATGATTCGTACTTTGCCTGAAAGGAAACAAAGTGAAAATAAATGAATCTCAATAAATGGTTTTATAGGTATTCGTTATTAGGTTTTTCAGCATAGTTTAGATCGACGATGAGCTCCGGGATATACGCGAATCATTAGTTTGTTTTTAAAACTGCAATTAGGTGAACGCGAATTATGCCTGCCCTTCCTCTTAGTAACATACTCCTTAGAAAACATAATGACTTTATTTGTTTACGTGTATCCACACGTACATAACTACTACTCATTCGTTATATTCGACATATAGTTATATTGAGTTTGATGTTTGATATATAGTTTGATGGTACAGAGGCTATATGAATATATGGTATGTAGTGTACTGTAGTTAGATATATATGCAGAAAAAACGAACTTCTTGTTCCGGCGGCGATTATTGAGATCCGGAGTCGTGGGCGTACTGCGACTGACGGGAGGACTAGCCGGTGGGGTTAAGCTGGGGCTCAATGAACCACCAACTCCAAGGCCGCCCAGACCCGAAGTAGTGTCCGCGTCCGAACGCACAATTCCGCTTTCTAGGATCGAGGCCGAAGTGGCGGAGCTCAGCGGGTTCATGAGAGGCGCAGGTCCGGGCGCTAGATAATGGCCAGGAAAGCCAGACATCACATGGCTAGTGGTGCTTGTTGTTGTCTGATGAAGATGATGATGACCTAGGGGGTCCCCAATGCCAGACGGAGGCGTTCGAAGGAGGTTGCCGCTATTAGTTGAGGGGCTGTCATAAGGAAGCAATGAATGAAGACGACATTTGAAGTGACGTTCGGTACGTAAGTGAAACGCTAACTTAACGGAATTTAATTACTGATAGCGTACTCACTAAATGAAATATAGTTTCGAGCGATCGAAACATGAACGCTCTATGCATAGCCAGCTTTTTTTTGTGTCACCCACTGACCTTCGTGTAAAGCAGAATGTCTTCGAAATTCGTTCGTACGTACCTGTTAGATCCAGACGTATTGTTGCTCCTATTTCGTCGTAGTGCAAAAGGTGAACTGCACGTCTTCGTAACTCGGTGGTTTCCGACATCTTTGCTAGCGGTATCATTCCGTTCGTCATCCGTGGCTTGGCATGCTTCGCAACAACAACCGGGCTCATCCACGAGACAAGCAGCTGTTTTGGTGTCCCCCGACGCCGCTCTCGAGCCGTCGGAATCAGCCGCTTTCGACGGCGACCCAGGAGCTGGTGCTGAGCGTAGTGTCAATCGTTTCGTGGTGTCACTCCGTGCAGGTGGTCTTCGTAGGCTTGTGTCGCGAATTACAACGTTAGGTGTCTCTGCTGACCCCGTACTATCTCCGGACGCCGCCAGGGACGGAATCACGCCATTCGGACGGCGATCCGCATTTTCTGTCGGCATTTGAACCAACATTATATCTGAAACTTCCTCTTCTAAATTGACAATGCCACCACAATTACCGAATGCAACCATAAGGTACAAGTGGTTAGTCTGATCTTTTGCATTCACATTATATGTAAACGACCCTGAACAAAAGAGATGTAAGACTCAAGGTAAACGTTGAATAAACCCACACAGGTGCTAGAATCTTAATTTATACGAGAAAAAAGATGCAGTTTATTACGTTGCCTTGTGGAGTAAATAGAAGTACATGACATACGCCCTTTTAATGGCACGCATTTAGGCAATTACGGCCAACGATTATCAATCGATTTTACAGAGCTAGGCTCTTTTGCAGTGTTCAAGTTGTATGAACTTCACTGGCTCGCTTCTGGATATACAAATTAGATTTCAGCGGTGTTATATTGTCTGTTCGATGTACGAAACTTGTGGCCTAGTGTTATAGGAATTGGACAACAGGCAGTTCTTTTAATTAGATAAGTATGCCGCTAACCATTGTCGATGTATTTGATATCGTTGGCCTTTTCGGCCCAGCGGGGCTCCGGAGTATGGACGGCCCGTACAATCTCACTGGTGGTTGAGTGCGGCATTTCTTCGACCGGTGATCCCTGATCGGGATCGACGCGACTATTGCGTTTGATGACTTTGCACGTTGGGGACGAACTAGACGAGTTCCGATGCAGCCGTCGTGCTGAGGCCGATGAACTGGATGAGATCGATGGAGAGGAACTTGACGATAGCTGCTGGTCCATGGGGCCAAATGACAGCCTCGATGGGCCTACACATATCAGCAATAAATGGAAAGCAAACATCAGAAACGCTGACTAGTCGAACCACTGCTATCAGCTCTGCATTGTTGCGGTCGCGTTGTTGCTAACCGATGTAACTATTTAAATCTTGTCTTTATTAATATTATTGTTTCAATACGATGATGAAGCCTACTGCTTCGAAGTAAATACTGATATTCCAAGAACTTTTAAACAAAAAAAAAAAAATTAGGAACTAGTCTACCTGGAACGGGTGAGGTTTCTCTCGACGGATCAAGCGAGTTAGCGGCAACAGCATTCCCTCCGCTCGTAGCGGAGGCGTTCAGTACACCTGTACCAGCTGCTACGATGATCGCTGTCGGCATGTTGTTTCTATTGTTGTTGTTGTTGCTTGGCCCGTTTGGCGTCAAGCTACCATTTATAGAAAGGTCGTTGAGTGAGTGCAGGGACGTTTGTGTTGCTACACTTTGTATGACGGCAGAGCTTGACGTGGTCGAGATCGTTGAGGAGGCTCCAAATGAGCCGTGTTGGAGGGATATTTGGAGCGTTGATGGGTGCGAAGTTCTCGTGAACGATAACACTTCTTCTGCTACATGTACTATAATATATCGAGAATGGCACACATTAAAATACATTGTAGGTGAAAAAGAACATAGGAACGAAAAAAGAGTGACCGGATGATAAAAACGTGGCATGCCACCGAAGAAGACGGCAGCCATTCATTGACTCAGCCGAGTCCAACGAGACGAACGATCCTACTGATTATTGTTGATTAGAAGTATGCTACATTACCAGATGTATTATTTAACCTTTTAAATTATGTTTAGAATGTTTTTGGTAAGACAGCGGGTGTATGCGGAACGAGGGATCGGCTCAATGAGCTTGCGATCCTAACAATTACTACTGCAAGTCCGTAGTCTGAGCAATATATGCATTTCGTTCGCTTGTCCCAACTCAATTGCAAACAAAGATAACGTACGTAAGAATGGCTTGTCTTGAAATTTCTGATTGCCGTCCATGGCGGTGTCTGTTAACTCTGATTTATGTAATAGGGTTACCCCATCATGGTGCTATATGTTTGGTTCAGTTGCAATCAGCCCAGAACAACTATAATGGAACAGCGGTTTGCCATGCATCTGCTAATATATTTTTGGTCTTGAAAGCAAAATCTTGACCCACATTCAAAAAGTTCACATTTTCCGGTTGTTCCATTTCTTGTAACGTAGTTTAAAAGCTCTAATTTCGGTATTAATACCAGAAAAATTATCCGTTCAATAAAGTCTATACGATCAAATGGTGGTAAATTGAAAAAAAAACCCAAGTACAACAATATGTTGCAATTTATGGGAAAGAGTGCTGAGCTAGCTATATCGTACGTTTAGTGTCGTTTAAAATAGAGAGATCCAGTAAAACGTTAGCTGCAACAGGCGGCCTATATGATTTCGCATTTAGAAGGCAAGGACTTAACTGTATCAGGCTTACCTTCATTATCACCATCGAGTTCGAGATCATGCGCTGCCAACTGAGCATAGGTAAGTGCGCAACGCTGCTTTTTAGGAGTCATTGGCGCAATTGGAGGTGGGCTTTCGGTTGCCCTAGCACTAGCTCCACCTATGTTACCTCCGCAACCTGCGTGTCCAGAATTGTCAGCTGAAATTTGTGTAAAAACGTATACAGTTATAGACGATCTACCTATTTTAACGCCGTATGGTTTCGCTTGTACTGGGTTTCCTATCTTTGATAGCTTTTCGAACAGTGGAATTAAAATCTGTCGTAAAGAAGAGCACATAACAGGAAAAAAGCTACGACAAATTCGAAAGTGAATGCTAATAAACTGACGCGGCACTTCTGTCGTTGTAATAATAGTATATAGCAATTACATAGAGTTATATACATCGTTTACCGGCAAAAAAATCTTGGTCAAATAGTTTAAAGGCTCAAGTAGCATTAGTTATGTTGCAGCAATGGGTGCCGTCTGATTTGACCTGTCATCTCTGGACGCAAGCAGATGGGCGATCGAAGTGAGTGTTCGCTTTGTCTTTAGGAAAGGCTACGACCACCAGCTGAAGGGATCGGAGAGTTTATAAATAGTTTATATTATATTATTGTTTGACCACTCCCGGATTAATTGGGTCACAACGGGGAATAAAAATTGAAAATTATTTTTATGCTTTAGTTTTAAGATTCCAGCTGGAACAAGAATAGGTAGTTTAACGATGCTTTTGCGTGCGCCATAAGCGTTATTCCTAACGGCCACGTTTATTCAATATAACCACCACGCACCACGATTGCAGCTTCATTCATATTTTCCCCTCTTAAACGCCTGTTACTTCCTGTACAAAAAAAAAAGTTAGTTGTACTAAGAATGGCTTTTTTTAACCATTGTGATCAGTTTTCGAACCGTTTAGATCTAAACTTTATGGAAGATCCTCTTGTCTGTTCCGTGAAAGTCTTTTTTAAAATTTACAGAAAATATATGAAAGCTGGTGATAACGTAGATCATAAAAAATTCTTTTTCTTTTTATTTTAGTATGGATTCCACTGGCTTGGATAAATGCTAATTTTCAGTCCAATGAATTAATTAAGGCATTCCCGATAGAATAAACAGCGTCCCAAAGCCCCACCACTTCTTATAGTAAAAGTTATCGTGTACAAAGGGGCGAAGTACTTTTGTGAGATTCTTGTCAATCAAAATGACAGAAGTAATTATTAGAAAAAAAAATTCAACAGTTCTATTTCTCGATCAGTGACCTCAAACGTGCAACAATTGTGTTTAACCTTCATTTATATTACTTATGATCACCATTTGCATTGCTGTCTTTACTGCCGGTCTTCTATAACAGACACCATGAAGAAAACGCGTCACGTGCCGTGAGTTTCTACTTCTTTCTTTCTTTCTTTTTCGCTCTCTGTGTGTGTGTATTTAGATGACTGCATATAGACAATGTTCTCTTATAGAAGTCTGTGCTTCTTTGTGTATATATGTGTGTCTTTGCGCATTCCATACGATAGTCCATAGTGTCCTTCGATCTCGCGACCCGTCATGCCCTCGTTTTTTTCTCAACTCTCAACCATTGAAAGTCTGGTGGGTACAAATCTTATCTCATTCTTTCTAGTGGTTTATGATTTTCACGGTAGAAGGTGGCGAATGCATGGCTGCTATTGGCGCTGGTGCTGCTCCTAACTAGGAGGCGGGTGCGCAAATCTATTCTATTCGAGACGGAGAAAAACCCGGTACATGGCACAGAGCACATACTTCCTTAAAACAACCCTTTTATGCTAACGCTCGTAGGGAATAACGTTGATTGCATTGGAGCGGCAAGAGCGACGACAAGGGCTTGAAACAAGGGGGAAGACTGGATGGACCTGCGTTTATATCTCTACAGAAAAGTTACAGACTACGTAATCACGTCTCCTGTTTTCTTAGGCCTCGCCTCCATTTCTGATTCCTTAGCTACCCCAGTTATTTCTTTCTGCTGAACTTCTCGCTGATCTAAGGACATTAAAGTAGTTAGACTCTGGTCTGATCGGCCCTCACTTTTCTATCGTACTCAGCCGAGCTGACTCATCTCCTTTTGGTAGGCTTCTAAAACGCGTACATGTATAGACGTATATAGATATAGGGAACAGCTAATTGTAGTGCCGGAATTGAATAGCACTTTCCTCTCCTCCACTGAATACCTAAAAAATAGTAGAACTAAGTAGTCGCAACAAGCCCATCAGTGTTTATATTACCCTGATTATTAGGGGCAGGTCTTTCCATAACAATAAGTCTAATACAACAGCTACAAGCATAATGTTCAATATAAAATTAATTGATTTTACTTTTTCTGGGTATTAGTTATTCTAAGGACATGTAGTCAGGCAAAGATAAAGGGCCACTGTACTTACTAAGCATTTAAGGATATTGCTCTACTAAGTATATAATACTTTTAGGTTTTGTAAGAGGTCAGTTTATCAAATTTGGAGAACTTATGTGGCAGCTATCTTTCTGGGAGACATTTTGTTCGTTCAGAAAGCGGTCGTCGAAGTGATCTCAAGCGTAATGAGGCTAAAATAAAAAATAAAAATCTGCTCGCTAACAATAGAAACAACCGTGTACTAAATAAACTGACATATACACACACTGACAAGGCAGCCATGCATTTCTTCCACATACGTCTTACGTGCGTATATATTATTATATAAGAGCGTAATAAACACTAGGGTAAAACTGGTCAGCTGAAGACTTACGTGGCAAAAGATCGTCATCATCTTCGCTAAATGATGGCGTGCTTTGCAGGGCTCCGACCCCTTTGTTCTTACTGTCGGGGCATAGCCGCGTGTTTGAGTGGGGCTTGGGTCCCTGGAGTTCCTTGATGATGAGGGTCATTTGTCGCGGCTGGAGATGCAGAAGGCTCGTACGATATGATACCATGCCCAATACTGCCGGAAGCCAATCGACAAGACCAAGCAGCTTGAACTTCGTCCCCCAAATATTCGATGTTATGGCCACCTGTAAGCAATGGAAACAATGTTTTAGAATGTTTTTACTATTTTAACGAATAGGTTTCTTCAAAGCAAAACTCCTCTTTAGAAATTGCGGAGTTACATCGTAAGGTGGTTTCGTTTATTTAGAAAATCGGAGCGGACTAAATTTATAACTTTAACTTCAACTCCCTAAGTCGAACATAAGTTCCGAACGAAATCAGAAACTGGTAAGCCCACTTTTAATCATTTCAACCTTAATGCTATACTATTGATTTCACAGCATAAGAGAGACAATAAAGATATCGTTAAACGCTTAAATGGGCAAGACAAAAACTATTCCTGCTTGAGGATTTGATAGCCTAAAGCGAGCGATAAGATAAAAGCGTGGCTATAAACTTACCATTTTGTCATTTTCAGGCAACTGGTCAACGTAGGTATTCTCTTTCCTTTGGGTAGAGGAGTCTCTGGATTCGATTCCTTTCGTCCCTAATCCCTGTTGGTTAGCTAGACACCCATGTTGGCCGTTGTAAGTGATGCTATAATTGTTGCTATTGTTGCTGTTGTTATTATTATTGTTATTGCTGTTCGCGTTACTGCTATTCGATCCTCCTCCAAGGAGCACTGCACTGCTGAGTAGGTGTCTTCGAAATCGTCTTCGACGCTGTACGCGGGGCGATGCATGACAACCCATGCCACTGTCTTCCGCCTCGGAGTCGGAAGATACTGCAGGTGTACATCGACCGGAAACATTCGGCGTTCCCTGCAAAGAAAATGATAACGTTGAATGAGAAGGAAAACATCTATGGTAAATGTTTGAAAATCTAAATTTCGGTTCCTATTGTGCAGTCTGTTCTTTTGTATACCCTTTCTATTCGAATAATAGAAATGCAAAACCTCATAACCCAAGTGAAGATAGAATAGCCGTCATATACAAATAATTGAAAACTGTAGCCACAAGACAAACGACTAGATCAACGCGTCCATCAAAGCTGGGAATAAACAAAATAAAAGAAGAATAGGTTGGGGCATAAAGATGCCTCAAAGGTGCATGTATTGCATAAACTCGTCCAATAAAAGGGCGAAAAAATTCATCAGGACGATAAAATTGTTCCCGGCAACGAGATCTTAAAGAATAGCATCAAGTAGAAAGAACTGATCTGGAAAATCACTAGTCAGGTATGTTATTTTTTGGCGTACTAATAATCCTTGGAAGCCGACGAATTCAACTTTACGGAAAATAATCACGTACTGCTCCATTGCAGGCCGTACCGCAAGGAGACAGGCCACAATTGAATCCTCTAACATATACATCAAGGAGGAAGGACGTCCTATAGGACCACACAACGATGCTCAATATGCCAAGGCTATCGTTCATATTCGCCCAACGCTACTTACGGCAGTTTACTCATTTCCAGAGCTGATTTTCCCGGTGGACCAGGAACCGCAAATCCTTTTATACAATACAACTACAAAATAACTTTAGGCTTAACATCTTGCTCAACCAACCTTTTTGTCTACGGGTTGGGCTCTTGTAGACGGCGTTTCGTAGTTTCGAAATTAAGTGTATCATCTTTAGATATCAACTACACATGATTGTACTTAACATTGTTATTATACTATTTATGTAAGATAAAGGTACCTATAGGTACTGTACGGTAACTTACAAACAACACCTACTATTCATATATAGTAGTAGGCTTTGTTCAATGGAATTTTGACCTGCAATCCGAACTTACTTGATTGCTACAGGATGAGTTGAGCCCGCTGCAATTGTTGTGCTGCTGTTGGTTATGTTGTTGCATCGAATACTCAGCCTGTGGATCATAGATGACAAACTCGGGCCGTAATTTACTTGCCCTTCTGCCCTTGAGTAGGGGTACAAGACCCCCTAGAAATTCGAGGAACAGCGTATATGTGGCACTACCAGCAGCTGCGTCCTCATCGTGCCTAACTACCGTACAGTGCAGACGGATATTGTGACCTGGCGGACGAGAGACGAACTCTCGTAAGCGCTCTGGCTGTGGCAGTGTGCATTTGACCGTCTGACCGAAGAGGTTGGCAACAAGCGCTCGCAACCGGGCTGGTAAGTGCAGGCGGGCGACCTGCTGTTCGCACTGCAGCGCCCTGTGGATCGTTAGACGTGACAGAAGTTGAAGTGACGCCATTCGCCGTGTTACCCAGGCGATATGGATGACGTTACCAGTCGCGATAAACAGACGCTTGTCATTGTGGCCTGGAAATCAACAATTCATGTCATGCACATGATTATAGCGAAAAATAGAAACGTACGAAATAAGAAGGATGTCGGAAGAGAAACGAATAGTGTTAGAGTTGTTATTGACAAGTCCGATTTCATAGGAAGAGCCAAGCATTGATATTTCAATAGTCGCAGCATGGCTACATAGAAACGTTACATGATATTACTATTCGACTGTCTCAATTTTTTCGTTAGGTAAGGGACACTATCCGTTCCAACTTTCATAATAATTGTTTCGTCCACAGAACGTCGATATTCAGCATTTTCTTCTACTTTTTCTGTTTCTCTTCTCCATTTTTTTACTATAAAAACGTGTGATCAAATAGAACTTTCAAGTTCGCCACATATGTTTGTTTGCTTCTCTTCTTTGTTGATTACGTGTTACGTCTCTTATTTTTGTAATCTCTTTTGATCTACATTGCAAATTAGGTCACAGCAAAGCATAAAATGATCGAGCTAAGCGAACTCTGTTTTGATTAATTGTCTATGAAGAAGGTTCTATTCCAATGAAATTTTCGCAAACACAGACTGCCCCATCCATCTATGACTTCCTTTACCTAATATCAGATATACTTATTTATCAATCTGATAACAAGCGTTTCTTGTCAGTAAATTGTAAGTAAAATTTTTCAGTAGCTATAATCAGCACTAAAATGATTGATAATACTAACTAAGTACTTACTGATTCGCTAAATTCTCAATAAATTATGACTGACGTATGACAGTAGTAACTTGCTAATAAGCTACGTAGAGATGAAAAAAAGTCGTACGATTTACGTAGCCTGAGGCTAGATATTTTTATATGCTTATATATTAACTTCTAGTTTTCCGCTTAATTTAAAAAAATAGGTCTAATGCAGTGCCAAATTAAAGCCTTACAGAGCATATGACTAGACCTTCTAATAATCTATCGTTTTTTTTTTTGCTGATTTCGCTATCTTTAGCTGGGCCTCCGGGATTGGAGAAACTCAAATGTGGTCTAGGCAGGATTGACCCTTCACGTAACCTGCTGACATTAGGGGCGTCAGTTGAAGCCTTTCGTGATCGTTACCTGCCACGATTGTCGCCAGCACTCTAGCCAAGCAATGTCTTTTTGCTTATCTCACACTTACTGGGCATTATATATATATATATATATATGAATTATGTCACACGATCGATGTGAAGATCTCACTATTTTTTTTATACGTATGTTAGAACTACTTTCCCAAACGCAAAGAGCTATATATATATAGCAAAGTCAATAAGAGCTGTAAGAGCCGTAAGCATTTACATATAGTTTCGCCCAATCACGAAAACGTAATTTAACGCTTGTCAAAAATTTCCCTTGGATTTTAAATCGATTTTCATTAAAAATCGTATCTTAACATGAAAACCCAGTTTAATTTAATTAATTTATAAATATCCTGCGCTAGATTTCAATACGAATCTGTGTGCTACAATATTCACGTGGGTCAACCGTAACTTCCCGGGAAGCTGGAATTTTATGTGACACTTTTTTGACATCACATGCTCCTTCATACCCCTACCCTGGGATTCTTTACTTGACTCAACATAGTATTATTTGGCTAAACAGAAATGCTTATGTATGTCACCTTTCGGGTCCCACTCAATATTTATCAAAAAAAAGGTATCAAAAAAATCCGACTATTTACAGTGATGTTAAACAAAATAAGACAGCTTCGAGCGTATACACATAATGTGTTTTTAGTTGTTGCAATAAGTAAATAAAATTAGTACGTGCTACTTTATGATGCAGTGACAAAAAAAACTAAGGAACAACTAAAAAAGCTCAGACAAATCTGTTTTATTGGCCGTTTGACGAAAAATATAATAAAATTTTCCTTGTGTTTTGCAATAAATTTTAACTTTCAAAATTATGGAAATACGCGCGCGAAAAAAAGTTTTTGAGCTTGGCTTGAGTTGGGCTTTTGAGCTGAGCATACTCGTTATTCTTCGAAATAGATAATAATAACCTACAATTATTATGTATACTACACGTTATTATGATTAACCTCTCCGCCCGACGGAATCGACCTGTACAACGAGCTCTAAAATGGGGAGCTTGGATTTGCGGAATGTAGGATTGGGGAGGTGAAAGTCCGCAAGGCATTTCTCGAAAAAGCCGGTTACTGGCTGGTTTGTAATATGCCCTTTCTTAAACAACGATTGTGTAGTTAGTAGCTAGAAAGAATAGCCCGAATAATGGGAAGCTCGATGGGAAGACCTCAGCTGTATGGCTGTAGAAAGTTCGAGCATGACACTTCACTCAAGAAGCATAAAAAGTGTACAGAAAAACGACCTCGAAGTCGTCAAAAAGCGGCGACACCTACAAAAGCTTAATGAAGGTATCGAGCTGGAGGACGGAGAGAAGAACGATTGTTGAATAGTAAAGTGTCTTTAGTTGCCATGACACACAAGTTTCATGAGCTTACTTAACTCGCTGCTCCTTATCAGAAATCTGCTTACTGCCTATTACGTCGAAACCGTGTAGCTCAACACGTCTCATTGTAGCTAATAGGGCTATCCAGCAATGAAAAACACTACCTTAGTCGATGTACTGAACTAAAGAACAGTTGGCAACACACGATTCTACTTTTACGTTACCCATAAATTGCGATACTGTCACTTATTGTCGTGATTGATTGATTGAATATTTTAGCTTGACATACCCCAAGTGAGCGCGGTAACAGGCTTCTGTGCGCAGGGAATGGGCGCCACGAATCTAAGGCTGCCTGTATCTGCGGTATAGAATTTTGCCAGATTTCGGTAGCTGCCTGGAGTAGGTGTTGCGGCACCGGGTTCTGGATCAGCTACTCCCGCTACCGCTAATGTTTCGCCGCTATTCGACCATTCTAACTTAATACCTGAAATAGAAAATTGAAGAGACGCAGACACATAAGCCATACCAACACCCATAGACACACAGTAAACAATTTAGTTTATTTAGTTACAAAAATCACTTGTGCTGTCGCTGAGTTTATTGATGCATTTGTACACTGTGAGAGGAATTATATACAAGTGCATATGTGTGTAAGGAGTTGTAGTACTAACCTTTTAGGCCGGTGTGCACAACGATAGGTGTTAGGTCGTCATAATTTTTCATGAGGTAGATTACGCCTGTAGCGAAGGCTACTGCAAGTACCGCTTGCGGTACGCCGGGCGGCCCTGTACCGCCAAGACTGCCAGCGCCGCCTAGTGGGTGGCCCTGTGGATCCGCTGACTGATCAGACGCGCCCGGTGCAGGCTGGTCAACGTCAGTTTCCTCCATCTTGAACTTTTCGCATGACCAGGCCATCGCTATAATGGGAGTATCGCGGCACACACTCAGCTGTGCAACGACTTCTCCGTGGACGTCGTTGACAAGAATTTGGCCGTTCGACGTTCCAAATAACACCTGTAAAATAGTAGGGACACCACTCGCTGTTACAGGGACTGAATGTCTATATGTTTGGAATTAGGATCGATACGATGGATAATAATATCATTCTTACTTGAGTATTGAATCGTTTTCAAGATTGAATTAGGTCAGTGTACGTATAAATATGTACGTGTTTACACATTAAGAATATATGCTTTTTTCTAGCATGTAAGGCTGATTCTTTGATTTGTTTCCTTTCTCAGATAGGTCGATGTGAAACTGTAGTGAACTGGAAGCGCCTTGTTTCTTCAATGCCCAAAGTTATTTGAAATCACTAACTGGATTGAAGTCGTCGTGTTTTAGGTCGCGAAAATCTGTGGATCTCCGTCGAATTCATGATTAGATCACCATATCAGGGGCTTAACAAAAGGATAATTTTGTAGATCGTTAATTCACCGCTTGTTCCCAACTATTGTCTGCCAACGCATTGTGGCCTGGCGTATACAAGTTGATAGCACAACGAGAACTATTCCTGATATGGCATCTAAATGCATCCAAATTGATCACAGATACGCTTATTCATTTGTCCGACTTGAAATCGTTTCGCGGTGAAGAGTGTTTTAATATGAATTATACTGGCTGCAAGCAATTTTAGTTGAACCCCGAAGCGGGACTCGTAGATGTAGAAATCTACTAGGCTCATGTGTGTAATTTCCGACCTGTTAGCACGACTGCTACTGTAGATATTAGCTCAACAAGTTATCAAATTGTATAACTTTGCCGTTTTCCTCTACGATCAATGTTTAATTAGATCTATGATCCTGGCCGAATGTGTGTTCAGCAAATACAAATTACATTGTAGGTAATGGTTTTTATTAGTGTCAATTATTGTACTGCTAACAGCGCAATCCTCTCGCATTCTCGAAAACATTTACAGCAGATCATTGTGTAGGCGAGTTTTTCCGTGGGATAAAGGGTGAGATCTGTTTGATGGATGTATTATGATATTAGTGATTCAACCAACTTTTTGACGGCCTTGACGCCAACGGTTCTTAGGACACTCTCCAAATTGATAGTAATAACTTGTCCATTTTTGCAATCCTATGTAATATTTAGCTTCATGTGGACAAGAAACTCCTGATCAATTCATTACCCTAGAAGGTTTCGGTTTTTTTTGATTGCGCAGAGCAAAAGTTTAATTTCTTGTAAATAAAAAAAGACAGCGGGTGACGGCAACAGAGAGAGAGAGAGAGAGAGAGAGAGAGAGAGAGAGAGAGAGAGAGAGAGAGAGTACATACAAGATGCTATTTTACAATAAAATCTAATTTTTTAATCAAAGTCAGGTAATAATTCCACGAACAACTGCTCACGAACAACCGTAATTAGTGGCTTCTTTAAATGACATCCAGAATACAGTAACCACCTCATCTTCAGTCTCACTGACGGCATCACCGTTGAGCGAATCGGGAGCAGCTGATAATTACAATCCCATTGAATAGTAGCACGTTCCAATTGTTGACACAGGGTCATCTACATTGCTCGGAAAATTCCTACAACGATTGTAGTACTCCCGATGAGATTCTGCTTTACCCTGCCTGACGTTCATGTAAGACAGATGCTATCGACTGTACGGTTATGCGGATGACCTGCAGAGCAAAATTCATCGAGGGTATTGCGCGGTACAATCCAGGCCGCTGTCTTTTGCGATCTGTCAAATTTTGGTAGAAACCAGATCCCTGAGAGGAATTCGGAAAGCGACTTCTTTTGTTGCTTCCACCTGCTAGAGGGAAAAGACTTTTTTTTTTTGCTTGACGTTGTTGCTTATCTTCACAGAATTAAGACTGGAATACAAACGAGCAAATAAGTTGCTAGAATAAGCGTACACGAAGGGTGCTCGGCGGTCGTAGGTGGCAAGGCATGACCGTTGAATACTATGAAAAACGTTATACCATGCATTATTCAGTTTTTTACAATAAATAAAAAAAAAATAGAGTTTTTCAGATACTTCTAAACAAGTTAATAATTATCTTATGTATTATCTTCAATTACAAGGAAAAGCACCGTCACAGAACTGGACACTGCTCTGCGCCGCTGAAAAATAGATCGTATCTATCTCTCTAAACTTTTATCAGAACAACGATTACTCGAGTCATGTGGGGTAGTGTAGGATGCGTGCTTGCAATCCAATTATTCCTTGACAAATAATAGGGTAAATCTTTTAAACATCACTTATGCAAAGAATGGAACTATAAAAATGTGTGATGATGATTCCATGAACAACGAACATATCGATAACAACGTAGATCTGTGCTATGGTTGTCCAGCGTGCTTATGCTGAGCACACTGTAGCAATCTAATAACTTCTACCCTGACGAAATAGTAGGATTTGTCTGGAAGTTGTTTTTACTCAGTGAAATTTTGCAAGAATCTAGATCATTATGTATTATGTACAGCGGCGTAGTGATATGACATTTGGCGGTGTGTGATTCCATTAAATAAAGATGTTTTCAGTAAAATTTCGATACAGGTTTATGAATTGAAGTTATTGGCGTTATTACATTATTCACAAGGTAGTTCTTATGTATCAATAAGGTCGTCTAAGCTAGAAGAATGCTATCGATTGGCTATGTAGACGAACGGGATAATTTCATCGCGTTCATTAGATACGAGTCAAACTTTTTTCGTAAATGTATATGTATTTTTTTTTTGCTTTTTTTTAGCTTTTTAAGGTTGCATTGGTGTAAGTATCTTTCTTATAGATGTTTTTTATGCTGACAGTCTTCCATTTACTGGTTTCCCTTTGAAAGTTTGTCAGTCAAGCGACTGAACTTGAGTGTACCAGTTCTGTTTTGCATCGCTTCTATATATTTGTTTCACAGAAGTTCCACTTGCTGTACCACTGAGCTCGTAATATTTTCGGAGTCCCTCTTGTTCACTTTACTGCACCAACTCAAGCTGCTGTTCGAAGGATACTTTTGGTCCTCGCGGTAGGTCATCCATAATAAAGAGGTCCGTTTGGATCTTTATTCTAGGCCACTACATTACCCGTTACTTGCTACCGTCAGCCATTAATACTGCGCCGTTTGGCAACCAACGAATGGTTTAGCCGGCCAAAATGGAACAACCAACGGAGCTTCGTTGCTCCTATATAGCGCTATTCGCTAGCTATCTACCGCTGCTGCTACCACAGCTGGCTAAACGAGGAAGGCACTTCCGGAATCCCAGTGAGTTTACTTCCGGTTGACCAGCTTTAAGGGCTGTTCAGCACAACGTGGTCTGCCTTCAGTCGGTCATCAGCTAGGTCCTAAACGACCCTGTCAAGAGTAGCAGTCGTAGGAGTAATGCCTGTTCGCACGGTAGATACGCTGTTGCGTAGAATTTAAAGCCCCGTATCCAAAGAAAAAAGTGATGTGAGACAGATTTGTAGACAAAGGCCCAGTCAGCAGATAACCTAGTCACCAATGAGATCTCGTCAGTTGTATCGCTGGGGCAGCCTCAAACCACCAGGGGGTACCGCATGTAGAAAGTAACTTTCCATATTTTTTTTCTTTAAGAGTATGGCCCAACTTATTTAATAGGCATAGCTGCAGTTAAACAGCAACTCATTTTAGCCTAGCTCTTAAGAGTTTTATTATGTCAATTAGCAAAAAGATGGAACCAGCCTGCGCCTTGCGGATAAATGGCCTGTCCTCCATCAATGCCTGAATGTGAGCTGCGCGGTACAAACAAATAGAGAAGAAATCTTGTGCTGTAATGTAGGCTTGAATATTACTTGTCAACCGACTATCGAGGCCAGCACTAACTTGTCGTAACTATCCGACTCGCGAGTGCCTAAAATGTGTTGCGACTTTCGGCCGTGAGGCCCCTTTGGAGGCTACCGCTAAACAAGTCGTGTGCGGTGCGCGTGCTCGGCATCGAAGGCGCGCAACTTCCGAATACGCGTCTCTCCGGCATTGTTTATAGTCCATTCATTATAACTCCTCACCACTGAGGTATTCCGTTAATGAGCAAATTTTCCGGAAAATGATTCGACCTAACTCTGCCTTATCCCGACATTATATTAATTTAAACTTATCTGCAGCATGCTTCGAACGACTACCGTGACAACAATTAATTAACTCACTCAATACGGAAACTAATTTACCAAAACAAATGGAGCGTTTTCAGCTAATGATATAATGTAAGTAGAAACTGCGCGAGTGAGCTATCTTCGGTTGGTCTTTTTCCTGAAACTGAAACTGTTAGTCATGCAGGGGTATGTTGATTGCGCTAAGTGACAAAGATGCGGGTTACGATCCCCCGCCTAGAGCTGGCGAGGTACAAATGCAGCCAACAACGTTATTGTGATGAATGAATGGCGCATAATTGTTCTTTTTTTTTTTTTTTCGAACCAACTTTATTCCTTTATCATGTAAAATTTACTCATTGGTTTTTTCCTCTTCCATAGGAATTTCCTATCGCATCATGAAAAATACTCTAATTATAATTTCTTCGATTGAGCAGTTTGATGTATCGGAAACGTGATCTAACTTTAGGGAACACGCTTTTAGATTTGTAGCTATTATTTTATTCCATACATTAGTACATTTTCATACATTTGTTTATCTTCAATGAGTTCAGCAGTCGAGCAGCCTCGTCAGCTGTGAACTATAACAACAGAAATAATAAGTCATATATATTTAAAGTCTGTTTAAATGGAGTTAGAAAATAATAATATTAAATTGAATTTTTTTTAATTTAAAACTAATATTAAATATAGGGGTACAAATGTTCTAGTGCTACCGTCGGCGTCGGACGCTACTGACTTCCGAATTAATAGCAATCATATAGGAAGAAGCCCAAATGAGTGATTATCAAAGCCGTACGAAGAAAGAGATGCCCTTATTCCGTTTTGTATACAGGACCGATTCACTTGCCCTAGTGTGAATTAATGGAGCCCCACTCTTCGAAGCATTAATAACGAAAACGATGTTATTAGAGTATGTCCACAGCTTGACGAATCATTTTCACCTGCTAACTAGCACGCCCCAGGTCGA